AGTACCTCAGACTTTTCTGCCTGTGCTGGCTTCAAACTGTGATCTTTTAAGTCTCAGTGTCCAGGGTAGGTAGGATTATAGGCATGAGTCCCCATTGCTTGGCTCTTACAATATTTTTGATTTATGGTTGGTTGGAGCCATGAGTACACAACCCATAAACAGAGGCTAACTACATTTGTATATTTATGTGTATATATTAACTTAATTTGTAAAATGTTAGCATCTAATGTCCAGCCAACACATTAACAAGAGCATATGACTACCTCAAAGACTCAGATGGTATATTATATAAAATATAAACAAAAGGACAATTTAGTACTTAAAACTGAAATACAAGAGACACACAGGTGGTTCCAGGGTTCACACTTAGTGTGCTTTTAGTAAAACTCTTCCTGCCAAACCCAGGCAATAATATCACTACTCTGGCATTTGTGCCCCCAAAGAGAGAAAATCTGTCTCATGGGAGACCACTCGATTCTCAGGTGTTTAGTATTCTTCATGGTTAGGCATTAGTTAATTAAAAGAAGCCAATCCCAACAGATAAATTCACATTCTCAGCCCAATACAGGAGACTTGGTCCAACTGAGCCATCGCTAGCTAACTTGTTCTGATCTTTTGATACTACTATAGGTGTGCTAGTGAAGAATATGGCCTATGTTCAAAGTATATAAGAATGTAATTCTACTTTCATGAACCCTTCAGGGTCAAGTCACTGCTTTTAACTGAAATTATAGTTTTCTTTTACTGGTTCTAAACATACTATCCATATTCAAAGTAAGGTAATTTCACAGTTAACTCAAGAGTATTTTCTTCCCTTCGTAAATGTTGTCATTGATATTTATTATCCACTCATTCACTCAATCAATGCTTGGTGAATGCTTACCAAGTGCCTGGCACTGTCGCAGGAATTAGGGATCTAGCACTGACCAAACAAAAGGAATGAAATATCGCCTGGCTTCAATGAAGTTTTGTTCTAACTAAGGCAGTTAACAAAATAAAAACACGTGGTATATGAAAACATGACAAGTGATATGAAGAAAAATGTGACTAGGAGGAAGAAAAGGTGATGATGCACAATTTTAAATGGAAATCAGAGAAATCTCCTAAGGAACATTTGAATAAAAACTGAAAGAAATGACTGATGTGAGGAAGTAAGCCTTGCAGTTACCTTTGAAAGAGGATTCCAGAAAGAAGAGAAAAATAAAGATGCTGAGGTTGGAGAATCCCTGACATATCCAAATAAAGTGAGAATAACAGGGACTGCAAAGAGGTAAGGTGAGATTAATAATAATGTGAAATCTTGCTATATCAAGATCTATTTCTATAGGGGGAAAACCTCTAATGTTAGGTTTTAATGTTCTACAAAGTTTCTGCATCTTTTACTCTAATACAAATTTAACCCTGAAAAGCTCCTTTTACATTGGTACTCCAGCATTCAGTAAGTAAATATGAGCTAATTCATTTTGCTTTATTAAGCTATTGTAAGTGTACTGCTATCACAAGAGGGGTTTATATTTGCTTACAAATAAAAGGAATGTCAAGCAGTCTCCCCAAATCTTATGTAGGTTTTCCTCTTATTTATTTTCCTTTGACTTTATGTAACAGTGTTTTATTACATTATCTACTAACAAATGCAGAACATGGGGTGTCCATGACTCATGCTTGTAATCCTAGCTACTCAGGAGGCTGAGACCTGAGGTTCCCAGTTCAAAACCAGCCCGAGTAGGGAGGGCAGTCTTATCTCCAATTGACCAATGAAAAGCCAGAAACACAACTGTAGCTCAAGTGGTAGAGATCCAGCCTTGAGTGAAAAAACAAGCTAAGGCACAGTGCCCAGGTTCTGCCTTCAAGCCTCAGTACAGGTATGAGATAAAGGAAGAGAAAGAGAAAGAGAGAGAGAGAGAGAGAGAAAGAAAGAAAAGAAAAAGAATTCATTGTTTTGGATATCATTCCTGGATTGATGTCTGACCTTTTTTCTTTTTGAAATAAAGGAATTGATACAAGCCAAATTCTTTGTAGGTCACATTAACTAAGTACTTTTTTATGCAAAAGAGGATAATTTCAGGAGACAAAATTTCAAAGTATAAACATTTTTTTTGGATGGCTTGTGTCTATTATCTCCTGAGAATAGCCTCGCAATCTTCAAGACCAGCATGGCTACCAGGTATAACCTATTAGTTTGTAGTTGATATGTATACAACTAATTGTCGTCACTTGTTCACAAATAAGGTAACTTTTTTAAAAGATGAGAAAAAAGTACAAATGTGTCTTTGCTACATTTCTCTCACAAATGCAAGCTAAATAAGATAAAACTTTTACACTACTGTAAAACAAATCTGTCAAATGAAACGGGTAAGCTATTACGTGTTGTTATTCTCCAATCCGTTCCAGCAGGCTAAAGAATAAAATTTTTGCTAGGCATTTTCCTTCAAGTTTCACCCCCCCCAAATTATAGTATAAGGGAGAGAGGCAGCACAACATAAGCCGCTTTGTGAAAAAGGAAATGAAAAACCAAACAAATTCGGGAGAGGTAAACCATGCACACAATCTGCGACTACAGAGCAAAGAAAATACCAGCTGCCAGCTCTGGCCTTGAAGGCTTCCCGAGGCCCTGTGTGGCTCGGTAGCAAGCAGTGCGCCGAAGCCAGTAACGAGGGGTAACGGTAGCAAGCAGTGTGGATCGGAAGCAAGCGGCCCAGCAGTTAGTGTGGTTGGGAAGCAAGCGGTGTAACCAAGGACACTTCCACTTCAAGCGACAGGCCGTGTCCCTACAAACTCAGAGAGGGGTTCTTGATGTTCTAGGGGACCAGATTAAACTCCGAAACGTCAGTCTCCGAACAGCACAGCACCACGACAGAAAGCATCAAGCAGAGGGAAGAGAAGTCGCAGCTCGGGCACTGAACTGCTAAGAAATAAACCAGTACCTGTCTGCCTCTCTCGAATGCTGGCTGCGGCCGCCATCTTGCCCCTCACCATTCAGCGCCAGGCTGGCGACGGGAGCCCGAAGATGACGTGGCCGACCTTCCCGCCCCGGAAGCAGAGCCCGAAGGGGCGGGGTCACAAGGAGCCCAGCGGCTGGCCCCGCCCCGTCCCCCCCGCTGGGCGGGCGCAGGGCTCCCGGGGATTTGGCTGGGTTTAACATTTGCCAGGTTTTCCCACGCTCAAGCGTGATGTAGCAGTGAGAACCTGGGGCGAGACTCCTCTGTTAGCGGGGTCAGTTATAGCGCTCCTAAGTGGTTCAGTCCTAAGGATGTCAGCTTCCTCGTGTTTCCCCGGGCGGCATGAGTTTTTATTTACGTGTACAAATGAAAATGTCATAATCAAACCCTTTAATGTAGGTTAATAGAAGGGGTAAGACAGATACAAACGTGTGCACACACACCTATTAAAAAAGATCTTTTTCATTATTGTCCATATGTTCATTTTCCTTCATGCGTCTCAGAAATATAAGGAGCTGTGCCACTCCTGGTGAGAATGTACATTAGTGCATACATGATGGAAAATGCAGACATTACAAAAAATTTAAATGGAACTACCGAAATATTAATCATGCAAAATCCTAATTCTAAGATTATTACAAGTACTTCACAGTATTTTTTATAAAAATTCACTAAGTCTTCATGCTTTTTAATTGAATCTTTTGAAAGATTGAAAAACTGGACTGGCATATAAATTGTCACCTTCGCTTGGTATACATACATTGGGGAAGTTATAGGAATATGTTTGAAAATTGAGAAAGGGTCCAAATCAGAATTTCGAAGGTGGGCCTCTCTGCAAGGAATCCAAATTTTCCCAAACTACAGGTAATATATACTCTCAAGAAGTGTTATCATTTTAAGTATTCTATGCTTTTTGTAGCATAAACACAAAGACTTAAAAGTAAAAAGTAAAATACTACACATAGAATCACTATATAACCATGTTCTGGTCAGTTTCTCAGAAGTGAAAGCTAAAGGCAATATTACTGAGAAAACAACTACAATACTTCCCTTAGCATTTTAGCATTGTGTGCAGAAGTCCCAGTAGCTTCTGTTTAATTGGAAGGAAAATTTATAAATACATTCGAGTCAAAGTGTATTCTTATGCTAGTGATCAATACTTTTTGTGTTTTTTACTTATCCCCAATAAATGTGTTCCTTCACAATATAGAAATAAAATTACAAAGTATAAAATCATAAGCTACTTCACAATAAAATAATTTTAAGTTAAATACTAAAACAATAAAGTGATTTGGTACAAGAATAGTACTCTATAAAAGACTATAAGGGAACTGGGAATAGAGTGCTTGCCTAGCATGCATGAAGCCTTGGGTTCACTTCCTCAGTACCACATAAACAAAAAAAGCCACAAGTGGTGCTGGCTCAAGTGGCTTGAGAAAAATCAGCTCAGGGACAGTGTCCAGGCCCTGAGTTCAAGCCCCAGGACTAGCAAATAAATAAATAAATTCCATTAAAAAACGCCTTAAGTTTTCATATTGAGAACAGTTAAAAACTGAAAACAATGCATACATAACTAAAAATCTTAACAGTAGATATTTATTCAATTATTTTCCTCAATACTGAGAACGAGAATACAAGTGTAAGATGCATAGCATTCAGACAACTGAAATCTTAAGAAATACATATAAAATTTATTAAAATTTATAGCATAATTATTTTAAAAATTCATTGAGTTGTACTATAAAATGGATAAAGAAAATCTAAAATACAGGCAACTTGACACAGAAACACTGCAGAAAATAAGCAATAGATTTCTCCAATATGCCCTTGCTATAAAGATCAAATTAAAGATGATACTAATAGAACTTTAAAACAGAAAAGTTTGAAATATGAGTATTTGATTCACTTTAGGAGCCAGACATTATAAATTAATACTTATACTTTCTTTACCACTAGGTTGCTGAAATAGTTTTGCAAACCCAATAAAGTATGCAAGCACTGTATTACCTTTAATTACTAGTATAGGATAAATTTAAACTATAAACCAAGAAACAACTTTAATTAGATATCTAGGATTGTTTTGATTTAATGTGTTAAAATTTTAGAAAAATTAGGTAGGTCATGAAATTAAATGTCCACTTTTCCAATACATCTTTGACAATGCAACAATTTTGCAAGACAAATACATGCCTTAATATTGCTCAATGCTTCAAGTTAAAGTAAAACTTTGACAGGCCTAATATAATTTAAAAAGTAACAGAAAATTACACTAATATTTGTATTTCAGTTTTCCTTTGGTGTTAAAAGCTATATTATCTACATCAAATCAAGCTCCTTATTGTTCATTAAATACATCGATAAGAATGTTTCTTGGAGAGGATAAGTGTATGAGCAATTACTAACTCCTGCTTTATTTATCAAGAAAAATATGGTTAAAACATATTAACTCCCTTAAAGGTTTATATATCATAATGATTAGTAGAAAACTGAGGGTTTTACTGCATTTATGTCTAGTAACAGGTCAAGGATATTAGATATTCTCAATGTTTTATTCTGTCAGAGTGCAAATATGGGATCAATGACTGTTACTGTTTATCTTCACATTTTATTACATGATTTCTTGTTACTATCAGTAGCACTAATATATTTAAAAACAAAACATTGCCAGGCAATGGTGGTGTACGCTTATAATACCAGTATTAGGGAGGTGGAGACAGGAGGATTTTGAGTTTGAGGCCGTCCAGGGCTACATAGTCAGAAACAAACAAGCCAAGCAAAACAAACACCTTAAAGAAAATGTAAGAGTTTATAGAATAATACATAGAAACACTTATCTGTGTAATGAAATTAAAGGGGTTTTCCCATTCTATTAGTATTTATTTTACATACTGTTGACACAAAAAGAGCTACCTTCCAAGACCAAAGAAGGTAACTGTATAATGCTATGGAATCAACTTATCTGTCATACATAGGTCTTCATAATAATAAATATCAGATAGCAAAGTCTATCACAACAATCCAGAGACTTCATTCAGATACTTAAAATGATCATGGATTAGACATATACATAACACATATAGGATGTGGGGGGAAATCCTGATTAAAACCGAGGCTTTAATGAAAATACACTTTTAAAAGGTATTTTTCAATCACACTGTAACCACTTCAGAAGTTTTCTAGCCTATAGAATTTCCATAGATTCCAGAACTACTTGTGCAATTCTGCTTTTTATATAATACTTTGCATTAGGCATAGTGTAATTGCAGTATTAGTCATTTTAATATAAATTAGAATTCTAAAAATATGTTTGCAATTAATCTAGTGCATCCTAGAAAAGTATACACATAATGCATACCCTGGAATATATGCCTCTGATCTATATGACAAAATTTAGCCAACTACATTTTCTATTTAATGCTTTAAAATAAGGAATAATTTGAAACCTGCATAAAATAAGAAAAATCTTGGCATCAATTATGTAATTCTAATTTTAAAAAATAGTGAGTATATACCATGCAACTATACCTGAATAAAGTCTGTACAACCATTTTAAAAGTATTTATATTGATACCTATGAAGCATGTGGATTACTAGAAAAATACCACAAATTCTGAGAATGACTTAACTAGACAAAAGAATGACTTAATTAAACTATTGGTTTGATTGGCCAAAACAATTTTTAATGTTAATATCATAAATTTTATTGGGCCAGAGGCGCTGATGAATTTGTTCAATAGGATGATTAATAGAAACAAAAAACAATAGCAGCTTATAAAGAAGCCTCCCTTTGTTCCAAGAAACATTCTAATGTTCAACGTAGTGAGAATATTCTTCTTTTTCTAGTTTTATAGTGTTTCTTATGGTGAAGTCCATACTTTCTTCAAACTCTTTATATGTTTTGGTGATTGGAAGAACTAAACAGTTATTACACTTGTTTCCAACAGGAAAATCTGTATGTAGATACTCAATTGAAGGAGTGGGTTTGAATCCAGAAGGTGGAACAGAATTGCAACCAGTTGCAAAAATAAGAATGTCTTCCATTGTTGTTGCAGATTTACCTTCTGAAAAGTTTACAGGTGAAAGAAAAAAAGAAAAATAAATCTATGTTACATATTGCTATTATCACAGGCTTCAACATTCATCTCAGGTAAAACTAAAACACTAAGTACACTAAATAACAATAACAGGCCAACAGTTCATTTAATAAATGAAGCTCTGGGCTGTAGTTAGGACTCAAGTGGTAGAATATCTGCTTAGTAAGCACAAAGCGCTGTGAGTTCTAACCCCATTTCTCCTTTACTCCGCAAAAGAATTTAAGTAGAAGGAATTAAAATCGTTTAGTCCAACCATTCACTATACATTTGACCTCCTCAATAGCATTACTAGTTACTAGTTTAACAAATGCAAAGAAAAAATTAAAATAAAACTTCAACTAAAAGTTAAAACTTTCTCTAGACTGCAAATGCAATGACTTACATTGGTAATGCTGGGTAAATAAATATCATTGGCATAACCCTAGTCAATGATAAAGAAAAAATAAAGAGCAATATAGATTAGTTTTAACACTGATATATGCTCTAGCATCCATATATTTAAAATGTTCAAAAAATGCCTTTTATTTCAGATTGTCTACAAAAATCAAAGTGCAAAATATAATTTACTCAGTAATTTTTTCTCCTCACTTCAAATTCAGCCCCTAAATGTGTTTTTGAATAAATTTCCTCTGTAGATAGCAAATTTAAAACCTATTAATAGCAGGAGGCAAAACAAATATATATATACTAAAACAAATATTCTGAGATAGTTAAATGAACTATATCTACATACCCTCAATATTCTGTAAATAATTCTTCCAATACCCCGAAGTTTGTACATCAGGCAATGTGTGCATTTCAAAAAGATCACTAAGGACTTTTGCAGAAAGAGTCTCAGGTTTATGACAAAGGATGTCATAAAATGCTTCTGGGTAAGTCTGAATTTTTTCCAAAACACCAAGAGTTTTCAGACCCTGCTTAAAACTTGAGGAAAAAAAACCCAAAAAACAAAACAAAACAAACAATGAGCCAACATTCAAACCTATGTATTTGGTATTAACATTATTAGAGAATTGACATTTGCAGCTAACATACTTAGAATTGTGTAAAACATTTGGCAAAAAAATTAAAAAATCCTCATTCAGATGAAAAAAAACCATGGATATGCTATGTATGAATGCTTTCAAGTTCAGAGCAAGTATTCATATAAAATGAGTAATTTATGTGGCTAAGTTTGGAATTATGGTTGTGAAATTTTTTTGTGTGTCAGTTGTGGGGCTTGAACTCTGGGCCTGGGCACTGTTGCTCAGCTCTTCAGCTCAAGGCTAGTGCTCTATCATAGCAACACTTCCAGCTTTATCTGTGTATATGGTGCTGAGGAATCAAACTCAGGGCCTCATACATGTGAGGCAAGCACTGTACCACTGAGCCACCTTCCCAGCCCTGTTAACTATTTTATTAAGAGAAAAAACTAACTATCTTAAGCATCTTGTACTTCAAAGCTATTAATTATGAAAGAAGTTACACATAAATTTGAAAGCAAAGGGATGATATAAATCTTAATCACATAGCAATTTGAGATTCAGGGCTGGGTAAGTGCATCAAGTGATAGGTACCTACCTAGCATGCACATGAATTCAAACCCTACTACCACCAAAAAATGTTTTTTTGCACTTAGGTATTGCTTTAAAAAATTAGCAAATAAAAAAAGGAGGAAAATTTAAATAAATGAACTATCTTCTTCTTCTTTTTTTGTGTGCAAATATTGGGGCTTAAAGTCAGGGATTTGCACTCTTGCTAGGCTTTTTTTTTGTTGAAGGTTTAAGCTCCAGACCTTGAACCACAACTGTACTTCCAGCTTTTTCCTAGTTGATTGGAGATAAGACTCTCAGACTTCTCTGACCTGGCAGACACATTACTTAAATCTCCAGTCTCCTGAATAACTGGAATTATAGGTGTGAGTAGACAGCACCTGGTTTAACTCCTTATGCATGCAAAAATTTTATTTTCTTTTATAACATTATTGGTATTTTGCACATGGGCCTTGAGCTTAAGAGTAAACACAACACTTGAGTGAGGCTATTTTGCTTTTATTATTTTATGAATAGGTTCTTGCCTTTATGCTTGGCTTGGATTGTCATCCTCTTATTTACCATACCATATGCTTTATCTCCCCTTCTAGTCTTTTTGTATTGGTTTGAGATATGGGTCTCACAAACTTTTGCCTGAACTAGACTCAAATTGCAATGCTTCCATCTCTGCCTTCCAAATGTGTAGGATTACAGGTATGCATCACTATATGTAGCTTAGTTTTTCTTTTAGAATTATTAGCATAAACTGTACAAGGGGGCTTCAGTGTGGTATTTAGAACTTCCATATAATCTGGTCAAATTCACCTCATCTATATTACTCCTATGGTTTTCCTAAAAGATCCAATAATACATTAGGAAAGCTTAAGCAGCAGCCAGACACTGGTGTCTCACCTGTAATCCTAGCAGCTCTAGAGGCTGAGATCTAAGGATCGCGTTTTAAAGCTAGCCTGGGCAGGAAAGTCCACAAGACTCTTCTCTAATTAACAACTAAAAAGCTGTGGCTCAAATGGTAGAGTGCTAGCCTTGAGCATAAAAGTTCAGGAACAGTGCCCAGGCCCTGAGTTCAAGCCCAAAATCAGCATTAAAAAAAAACCAAAACATGTTTAACAAAAGAAATACAGTATTTTAAAATGTACATTCATTAATAGTCAAGGAATAGGATGTATAATTTTTTCCGATCAGACTGACTTTCTATAGAGTCCCTAGTCTCCTAAAATAATCTGCTGTATCAATTTATTTCCTCGTTTTATTGACTCCTGCCCAATATAATCCAAACAGGTGGGTATGATTTAAATGTTTTTGAGCAACCTCAAAATTATGTTGAAGCCCAAATCCAAGTACAATAGTATTGAGAAGTGTGTTCTTTTAAGAAATTCTACAGATACACACTATACTACCAAATACTGAGACAAGGGTAACAGTAAGTGGATCCATTATTCATAAAATGGCTTATAACTAAATCTGGAAATCATCTTTAAATTGTCCTTCTTGCTCCTTAGCAAATCTTGTATATTTTCATTTCCAGAAATCTATCTGCTCATGTACATTTGTTCCTTTGCTACAATCCCTGGAAACTATGGTTTCCATGCTGTAGCCACAGAGATGTGCCAGAAATAAAACCTGCTGTTCATCCAAAAGAATCAATGGAGACCCTCCATAACTGATTCTTTAGAAATTGTAAACCAAAATTTGTTATTTGATTACAATTAAGGGTAAAAGATCTTGAGATGAAGTAAGATTACTGGAGCTGGTCCAAACTGCAATACAAAGAGACAAGGCAAAGTTGATACAAAAGCCAAAGAAAGACCAGAAGAATGAATCCATAAGGTAGTTGGCCTCATACCAGAAGAGACTAAGAGTGAACTGCCTCCTTAATTATGAAGAACAAGTACTCTTAACACCTTGATTTTGAACTTCTAATGTCCAAAACTGAAAGAGAATAAATTTTTATTGTTTTAAGCCATTCAATTTGTGATAGGTTTTTTTTATGGCAGCCAGGAAACAAAGTCCAAGCTTCTTAACATGGTTTCCAACACTTGCACTTCTCACTATACCTTTACCTTTCACACTCTGCTTACTTGTTAAGTAAATTTCTGCCAATATTGTCTGCCTATTAAAAACTTAGATCTATAATCCTAGCTACTCAGGAGACTGAAATCTGAGAACTGTAGTTCCAAGCCAGGCCAGGCAAGAAAGTCTATAACAGCTCCAATTAAGAGATTGTGGCTCAAGTAGTAGAGCACTACCCTTGAGCAAATAAGCTCAAGAATAGCACACAAGCCTTGAGCTCAAGCCCTATGACTAGCGCTTCCACAGTGACACACTCATACCCCTCAAAATAGCAATGAGTGAATTCCATCTTACCATTTACCTAACAAAATACAAATACATACACATTATTTGCACATGCACGCATGCACACACGTGCACGTGCGTGCGCACACACACACACACAAAGTAGAAAAGACTGCCATTCTTACTATTCATGTAACAAAACACAAGTATATACACACATACTTATCTGCTGCCTTAGCAGAGGGAGAAACCATTCAAAATGCCCAATATTATAAAGGGATAGAAGGTGGGTGTGATAGGGATGAAAACTATCACCAAGCTAAGTACTTTCAATGTTTTTCCTTTGGAACTATGTAATATTTCGTATAATTTTAAAACAAGTTTTAATAAAAAATCACTAAACTAAAAAAAAAAATGTACTGAATTTATAGTACAACTACTCATGGACTGGGAAGGTAGGTCAGTGGTAGAGCACTTGCCTTGCATGCCTCAGTCCCTGGGTTTGATTCCTCAGCACCACATAAGCAAAAAGAAAAAAGCCGGAAGTGGCGCTGTGGCTCAAGCGGTAGAGCGCTAGTCTTGAGCTGAAGAGCTGAGGGACAGCGCCTAGGCCCAGAGTTCAGGCCCCACAACCGGACCCAAAAAAAAAATTAATACTCAGATAATTACTATTCCAATTTGACTTAATAGCACAATATAATACAAATATAGGCAAAAAAGAAATATAAGTTTCAGTAATGGTGGTTGTGGTCTCAAGTGCTCCTCAGTTAAAACTTCAGTACCACCACTACCACCACACAAAAAAAAGAAGAAAAAGTGGGCTGAATCAAACAAGTAATTATTACTTATACTCTAATTCCCCATTGTCCTTGAGAACTAGGATTCTCAATAATATATGATAAAAGAAAAAAGTAAAGATCAGACAGCATTGAATGTGAATGACAGGTATTTGTGTAAGCTCCTGTTTCATCTTAAAAAGTATAACAAAAGCAAACAGCAACAAAACCCTGTGGTATCTAGTTTTAATCTACAAGAAAGACCAGCAAAAATAAGCATCTATAGAATTAGGGCTATGGTTTTTAATACAATTTTCCATTAAAAGTACCTCAAGCTAGAATTATAAAATAAGTATAAAACATTTTGTGTTACACCATATAGCAAAAAAGCTATCAAAGATATTAAAAGAACTCAAAGGAATCATAGAGGAGGCTTACACTACAGTCAAAATTAAGGGAACAGAAATTTGAACCAGGATAATAATAGTAATAGTTTAAATACCTATTGAATATATCTAAATCTATGGGGGTAATACTGATTTTTTTCTTTTTCCTTTTCTTTCTTCCTTCCTCTACGCCTCCTTTCCCCATCCTTCTTTTCTTTATTAATTTCTCAATTCGTTTCTTTCGTCCTTGTTCTGGGGCTTTGCCACTGTCCCTGAGCTCCTTTTGCTTAGGGCTACTGCTATACCACTTGAAGCACAGAACCACTTCCAACTTTTTGGTTGGTTTTATTGGAGATAAGAGTCTCATAAACTTTACTACTACCTGGGCTGGCTTCCAACTACAAATCCTCACCCAGTCTCCTGAGTAGCTATGAGCTATCAGTGCCATGTTTGATACCTAACTGTTTTGAGATGATATCTTATCTGGTTTTGAAATAAAACTGGAGTCTACAAGGAAAGTACAGGTGAATAAGATGAAAAAGCTCAGCCACATATGGGTATTAGATGTAAGTCTTAGGCTATGGTTTGCTATTTTCCATTATTAATGAAAAAAAAAAAAGAAAAAGCTAGGGGCACATGGTTCAAGTGATACAGCAATTGACTAGCAAACCTAAGTCCCTGAGTTCAAACACCTCAGTACAAAAAAGGGGCATTTAAAAGAGACTATGTAAGTTGTAAACTTCTTTTTCAAGTATTCCAACGAAAAATTGGAGACTAGTATTATAAAACTAAAGAAGAGTGAAAATCAGAACTATCTTGTTTATCAAAGAATGGATCTATGTTACCCAGCAGATAATGTGCTCAATAAATAGGTATTAAATAAATGGAAATGGAACAGTTAGCTCATGTAGTAAGAGTTCTTAAAATCATTTTTACGTAGAAAAATATAAAATGAAACTATTTCATCTATCTAAGGATTCTGTTTCTGTAGCTCTGTACAGAATGACCAAAATAATAATCATCCTTGAGAGGTTCACTTTAAAGTAATTTAAAATAGCATTTCAACTTTTTCTTACAACATTTACATTTATTACCAAGTAAATCCCCTACATCATAATTAAACACTTTAAATATGTAAAAGTAAACAGCTTACCTTTCAAAAGGTATTTGGACTCTCTTAATTACTTGGTAGACAAGTACATCTTTTGCCAACATATATTTATCATTTAATGTTGTTACATGTCTTAGACATCCAATAACATCTAGGTAGTTATAGCATTCATTTATTACTGAGTTTAAGTCAGTTATATCTGCTGCAGTATTTATCTATAACAGAAAATATACATACTTTTTTACTCGTGAATGATCTTTAAATATCAAAGGTTGTATTATTTTATATTTACTTTTGGAAAGTATCAGGGTAGGGTCAAAGTCTACCAGGAAATATTTTCTAGAATAAATCTAGTTCAACAAATATTCTGTAATATTCAGACAAAGATGTTACTTGTGCATTATGCCAAACTAACGGTCTGACATTGTTGCATAGACATTTCCTTATACCCTTAAATTGCCTTATACACTTAAAACACAACAAACATTTCCAGTAACTAAATGTAGCCTTATCACTAAAATCTGTCCGAAACAATGAGTTAAAACAGTGTCAATCTTTCCTGATCTCTACTTTCTTATGTAAAAGCAAAGTCGAAAACAAAATTCTGAGTGATTACACAATTCGTTTTATGATTTGTATCTTTAAAAAATGGGTTATTTAAGTAGAGGCATAGAGTATCTTAGGCTGTCAATCACTTGGCATATGTTGTAATAAACTGTGCCACTTAAGTATGAAAACAGAGGCTAAACAAATGTAGTTGTGTTTCAATGAAATTATTTACAAAAACAGGAAGTGAACTCAGATAGCCTACAGGCCAAAACTTGCCAATCTTTACTACAAATAACCTATTTTAGAGGGGAAAAAAAATCTCGCATTTTGTTGGTGGTGGTGGTGGTCGTGGGGGCTAAACTCTAGGCATGGGTGCTGTTCCTCAGCTCTTCAGCTCAAGGCTAGCGTCGTCCTACCACTTGAGCCACAGTGCCACTTCCAGCTTTTTTCTCCTTATGTGGTGCAAGCACTCTACTACTGAGCCACTTTCCCAGCCCAACATCTGACATTTTTGAGCCACTATCTATGGTTATTTGTGAAACAGCCTAAACTCTATAAACCCAACTACCATTTAAATCTATTCTTTAATTCTTGTGTAGCTAGCTTACATTTACTAGTGTGTACATTCCAAGAAGACAGTGGTAGAGTGCTAGCTTTGACAGAAAACAAAACAAAACAAAAACCCTCCTTCTTAGACCCTGAGTTCAAGCCCAAGGGCTGGCACGAAATACAAAAAACAAAAAAAATCAAAGCAAAAAAGTACTAGGGACATTGGTCAAGTTAAAATACATTTTTTTTTCTTTTGTTAAAAGGAAAAACTCTAAGGGTCAATTTAAGGTATGATTTTAGCCTGGGTATGGTGGCACATACTTGTAATCCCAGCAAAGGGAGGATGAATGAGGATACAAGTTTTATATTGGCCAAGATTATACAGTGAAACTTTATATAATGTAAGTCTACGAAGAAATCAGAATTTTAAAATGAACAACCTTAGTCCAAATGAAAACCACAATCTCACTTCTAAACCTATGCTTTTAGCCATGAAACTTTATTGCTTATTGTTGAGACAATGGAAAGAATATGAAGGAAGTATGTTAAGAAATGTTAAATAGCTTCCATTGCCTCAGATAGTTTCCAAATAATGCAGGCAATATCATCTCTTAAGGTGACATGACAAATGTATTTGAGAATTACATAGAGCCAACTGTAAATGCTCAATAAACAGTGACCACTTTTATGCAAGAACATTGACATTCATCTCCCCACTTGTTTCCAAACTGTCTTTGTCTCTCCCTTATATTCTAACTGGTGAGTCCAGTATTTATTACTCTTCAGACACACTACCTAAAAGAAAGTACAAGTCATCGTTTTTTTAGCATGCAATGAGGAATGTTTCATATTGTCTCTGGCAATGTATCAAATAATCTAGTCTTGGCCTTTTTCGCCACAAATGTTAAGTGTCAAGTCACATTATGTATTAGCTTTAGCAACATTAAATGTGGCATGCTGATCTATCCAGCTGATAATTACTTTTTTTTAAAAGACTGGTTTTGGGACTGAAGAGGGCAGACTGATCAAGTCTGCAATGTAGTATAAACATGTGGGAATTCAACAGTGAAATGCCCATTGTAAAACTATTCTAAACTTATAAAAACTTAATAAAGGAATGTGAAAATGTAGCAAGTAAATGCCCTCTAAAAGGAGAATGATATGCCAAGGCACCAGTGGCTAAAGCCTGTAATCCTAGCTGCTCAGGAGGCTGAGATCTGAGAACTGCAGTTCAAAGACAGCCTGGGCAGGAAATGTGATACTCTTATCTGCAATTAACCACCAGAAAAGCCAGAAGTGAAGCTCAAGTAGTAGAGCACTAGCCTTGAGCACAAAAAGGCTCAGGGACCCTGGCCCAGGCCCTGAGATCAAGCCAAGGATGAGCACAAAAAAAAAAAAAAAAGAGAGAGAATGGTGTATTAATCAGTATGAATTGAAGGGATTAAAAAAATGGTCTGGCTATGTATCTTAGTCTGGCAAACTCATTATTCTCCAGCCTTAGTCTACTGAGTATCAAGTCCCATGTCATCAAAACCAGTTGATCTGTTTATTTTGCTTATCTGATGTTTTTTCAATTTTTTTTTTTTTTTGGGTTAGTCATGGAGCTTGAAGTCTGGGCTTGGGTCCTGTCCCTGCACTCTTCAGCTCAAGGCAAGCACTCTACTGCTTGAGCCAAAGTGCCACTTCTGGTTTTTTAGTGTTTTTTTGGAGGCAAGAGTCTCACAGACTTTCCTGGCCCAGGCTGGCTTTGAACAGTGGTTCTCAGATCTCAGCCTCCTGAGTTTCTAGGATTACAGGCGTGAGCCACCAGTACATGGCAATGTGGTTTTCTTGGTTTTTTGTATGGTCATGGCGGCTGAACTCTGGGCCTGGGCGCTGTCCTTCAACTCGTCAGCTCAAGACTAGCAGCGCCCTACCACTTGAGCCACAGCGCCACTTCCAGCTTTTTTTCTGCTTATGTGATGCTGAGGAATCGAACCCAGGGCCTCATGCAAACGAGGCAAGCACTCTACCACCAAGCCAACTTCCTAGGCCTGTTTTTGTTTTGTGTGTGTGTGTTTTGTATGTGCTGGTCCTGGGCCTGAGCACTGTCCCTGAGCTTTTTTAATTTTGCTCAAGGCTAGCACTCCACCATTTAAACCGCAGCTCCACTTCTGATTTTTTTGGTGGTTAACTGGAGATGAGTGTTACAGACTTTCCTGCACAGGGTGGTTTCAAACCCCTATCTTCAGATCTCAGCCCCCAAATAGGTAGGATTACAGGCAATAGCTACCAGCCTGTGGCACCAATGTGTTTTTAATCATGTTTTGAATACTGCTTGTAAACATAAATACGTTTAAGCATAAAAGATAAAATTATGTTGACCATACCTATTTCAGAGTGGTACTGTTTATTACTGAAAGTCAGTCATATAAATGATAATTTATAATGTAGTCAACATTTTAATGAATAGCTATGTTTCTTACCCTGATTATAATTTGTGCCACATCAAAGTCTGAAACATCTTCCAAAACTGGTTCGGTATTTTCTGGTCCATAAACAAGGCAATTAAATAAGGTCTTAGAAAAGAAACCCGGTGAAGGACCACCATGAACCAATGAAATGGCAAGGATTTTGCCAGCTTCATAGTAAAGATTCTCTTCCAAAGCTGCAAATATATATGAAAATACACTTATGAAACTTCAATTATTTAAAATGAAAAATTTCTAATAGTAATGCAGTAACAGTAATGTATTATGGAGAAAATGTAAATACAGAAAATCTTTGGGCTAAATTACATCTATAATCTTAGTATAATAACCTTAAAGTTTTTAATGTTTGTTTGTATATAAAAATAGTTTTATCTCTGCCATTTTTCACATATATTTCAATTTTTTTACAGTGCTCAAAATTAACTTAGAAATGTATTTTAATGCAAATCACTTCCCAATTACTAGCTAACTTAGTTAAATGGCATTTTCAACTGTAGTAGATATGTTACTGTATCTGTAATGTCACAGAGCAATATCTATTTATGTACTTTTGTTTATATTTTTGTTTTGATTAGGATAGTTTCCTAGATATGGTATTAGTAGGTCAAAGGATACAAACATTTCTAAAATTCTAGACTTATACCATTCAATTACCTTCTATATAAGGCAGTTTTACTCCCAATAGCATAATTATCCTCACAACTTTAATATTCTTAAACTGTATTTAAAATGTTTTGTCAACTTTTATGGATGAAAAAAGACAGTTCATTAACTGTTCAAAACCACTTATTAATTACACAATGTTTTAACTTATTAAAATTTTCTTTAAAAATAACCATTACATTTTGCACAACTAGAAATCTTGACAATCTAAATAAATATATAATATATACTGAAGCAGATGTTTATACATTTGAATTCAGATTTTATGTCTAAATTTATGCAGTCTCTACTGTGTCAAAGGTGACTTAACATTACCAATCATTTGAAAGTTTTTCTTAAAAAGGAATTTAGAACTGAAGTTGTGCATAAACTGAAGTTGTATGTAAAATTGATACTGGGTGGATGCTGATGGCTCATGCCTATAATCCTAGCTACTCAAGAAACTGAGATCTGAGAATTCCAGTAACCCAGCCCAGGAGATAAGTCTGAGACTCTTATCGCCAATTAGCCAGCCAAAAGTGAGAATGCTGAGCTGTAGTTCAAGTGTTGGGTGTACTGGCCTTTACCGAAACAGCCAAATGAGAGCACAAGACCCTGTGGTCAAGCCCCAGTATGGGCACCAAAAAAAAAAAAAAGGTACTGGTGAACATGTTCTAGAGAAAAAACAAAAACAAAAAAACAGAATTTGAATGTGATTATACAAGCTTTATTTTTTAAAACTTTCTCAAATTTTCTGTTATAGAAATGGTGATCTGAGAATCTCCTACAAATTCTAGAAGTAGCAACTCTGTGTTGAAGTGCTTATTTTAATCAAAGTAAATACTTACCAATAGTTACATCAGAAAAGTATGGACATAATTGTTACAGAGCATATTAGGGAGTACATTAAAATGTTACATGTGGCAGACACCTGTTTTAATCTAAAACCAACATTGTAAATACACAAAGTACAAATCCAAATACATGAACAAAAAGAGTACAAAATCATCATCCATTCCATATAGCTTGCTCTGTTCAAATGAAATTTAAGTGAATATAATTTAAGCACATGTTTACTTAATTGTGAAATCATTTCAAGCATATTGACATAAGTTATTTAATGTTTTATCACAAAACATTTTGGAAAATATCATTTCTTATCCCTCTTTCCTGTGATTGTCAGTAATTTATTAACAACGTAAATTATGTATTTAGCACAGATAATATTAATCCTAACATGCTATTTTTGTTTCTATACATGCCATGTATGTTATACATGCTTCAGTATGTACAATTAAAAAAATAATTACCTTGAGAATTTAGAGACAAGTTCTTTGACAAAGACCCTTCAAACAATGATGAGTTTGCCAGGTGGTGCATTAAGAGACTCAGAAATTCTTGCTTTGATCCAAGGCATTCTTTTCCAAAACCATCATTTTCATTAACATAGGATACTTCAATTGTGTATGAAGGATTAAAGTTTTTGAATTCATCTATGGCACTATTCCAGATATTGGCTTTGTTGATATATAATTTTTCAGTTTTTTTTTTAATTTGAAATCCTAACTCTATCAATATTGTTGAAATATCCCTTCTAAACTTGCTTCCTTGCCTATAAAACATGAATTTAAATATAGAGTGCATTATTTTAAAGTACTTAATGAGAAACAGCAATTATTACAGACAAGAGAAAAATAATCAAAAAGAAATTCCTTCCCAACTCTTACCTAAAAAGAATGGCTGTTACTGGGACAAAACCAGATTCATTTAATGATCTATGTCTTTATCTTCTTGGTGGTACTGAGGTTGAAAATCAGGGCCTATACTCAAGTCCTATGTCCATTCCTTTTGACTCTGGTTCTTTCTGAAATAGGTTTGCCTGGGCTGGCAAATTTATACTTTCTGTTGTAGCTGAGATGACAAGTACATACCACCACAGCCAGGGTTGTGCAACTTTTTGATTAAGCTAGACTTGAACGCTGCACTTCCTGATTTCATAGCCTCCTAATCAGCAAAGACTGCAGTTGTGAACAACTATGCCCTTCAAATAATTTTTTTTTTGGTTGGTCGCAGGGCTTGAACCCTCACCTCTTCAGCTTAAGGTAAGCGCTCTACCACTTGAGCCACAGCATCTCTTCCGGTTTTATGGTGCTTAATTGGAGATAAGAGTCTCATGGATTTCTGCCCAGGCTGGCTTTGAACCATGATCCTCAGATCTCAGCCTCCTGAGAAAAGGATTACAGGTGTGAGGCACCAGCACCTAGCCCAGCTAATTCTTTTAAGGGTTAGGAACAAGAGCTGAAGTTGAAGTTAAACTTGCTAATATTTTTTGTGGGGCAATTATCTGCCCTTTTTTTTAAGTGCACATTAGTTATATAGGGAGGGATTTCATTATTACATCTTACATTTCCATACATTTTATAGTGTATTCCAGTCATTCTCATCTCCTCCATCACTTTCTCTTCCCCCATTTCCCTTATTATGAATTCCTCTCAACTGTCTATATAATAGAATAATTGACAAGAATACTGGTGGATGATTATCTCAAACTTGATCAACTCAGCAGATTCAAATTTAAATCATAAACTCCAGTTCTCACTTTCTGACCAGTAGTTAGCTGCATTAATAACATATTTTTAATCATAAATTTATGACTAAAAGTATGCTAATCCTTTATGTAATACCTTCCAGTCTCGACCAGTAATTTTCAAAGTGTGATTCAAGACCACCAGCAGCAGCATCTCCTTGGAACTGGTTAGAAATGCAAATTGCTAAACCTCACAGCACATCTACACAATTAGAATGTTTGTCTTAACAATTCAGGTGGTTTGTATGGACTAGCACAATCACTTTCTACATTCAAGTTCTTCATGTTGGAATAAATGTAGTCCGCGTAAACAAATGTTTCTCATTCTAAAACATTACAATGCCCTATTGTGGTCCGGCCTATGATTTTTCTGACTAGCCCATTAGACTAAGTTGAAGTAAAACCAAAGTTCCATGTTATTATAACAGGTTATTTATTTTTGTGCCAGTATTGGGGCTTGTACTCTTAACTCTGGGTATCATGTTTTTGCTTGGCATTTTTATTCATAGCTGGAGTTCTACTACCTGAATTGTGACTCCAGTTCCAGCTTTTAGCTGGTTAACTGACATGTATCTTTGCATTTGTCTGCTTATAGCCTGGTTTCAAACCGATTCTCAGATATCACACTTTTTTTTGTTATTAAAAGGAATTTAGTAACCTTAATTAAAAATCCTTAGCAGCAATTCCATCACTGGCTTTGGTGACTGGAGCAACTCTATGAGATGGAGTCCCTTTGGGATGTGATCAAACCCAGTCTGGGACATGAACGACCACATGGCAAGGAGCTACCTGGAAGTTATTTCAATACAAAGATATCACACTTCTAAGAAGCTAGAATAACAGGCATGAGCTGCCAGATTCGGTGCTTTTCTAGAGAAGAATATGACTGTAAGTTAAAGCAGGAACAAAGAATCAAGCTTCCCTGATACATCATCTTCATATTTAGAAATAATATGAATGCTTTTATTATTTATTTATTGTGATAGTTTGAATTCAGGACCTCATGCCTGCTAAAAAGGTGTTTTACAGTTTTAGTTTTCTAACAAATAATAACATTAGGAGTTTTCAAGGTACAAATGTGACATGTTGAAACAGCAGTTCTTCAGTTTTTGACAAGTACTTAATATTCTACCTGTCTGCAAAGTGAATTATCAAATATTTTCACAAAATTTTTTTTTACATTTTCAAAGTTTTTAAACTTGAAACTACTTTTCACAGGAAAGTACTTCATCATACTTAATTACTGTTATTTCTCTTTGTTCCTAGTAGGTAATGTGCTATTCATAATTCTTTTGAAAGTGACATAAACCTACATATCATTATCTACAACTGAACAGTTTACAGAATGATTTTAAAAATTATTTTGCTATTTATGGAAACAGGAATTGGTGTAGTAATATAAAGTAATACCAGCCTGGGGAAAGTTTGTGAGAACCTTAGTTCCATTAACTACCAAAAAGGAAGAAGTAGCTGTAGCTCAAGTGGTACAGCATCAGTCTTGACTAAAAAAACTAAGGAAGAGTACCCAGGCCCTAGCACAAAAAAAGGGGAGGTGGGGCAGAGAAGAGCTTGACAATTAGACTTCTGACACTGACAGAGATTTTTAACCAAATGGATTATACTTCAAAAAAAATAAACCATCTTTATATTAAATAGAACTCCTTTCTTCTCATAAAAGGAAATGGTATTCTTGATATTTTAATCTTCTTAGTCTATAATCAAATAATACTGTGTAAACTTTTCCAGATTACTACTAATTATCTTGAAAGTGACTTATAGTCTGGTGCTGGTGGCTCACACCTATAACCTTAACTACTGATGTCTAAGAATGGGGCAAACAAATCTGACTCATCTAGAATTAACCAGCAAAAAGCTGGAAGTGTTCTGGTGGCTCATGCCTGTAATCATAGCTACTCAGAAGGCTAAAATCTGAGGCAGGAAATTCCATGAATTTCCCATCGTCAATCACCAAAAAAAGAAATATGTGTGTGTGTTTATATAGTATGTATTAGGTTTATATAATATGTATTAGAAGTGGAGTAGTGGGTTTTGTGGTAGAGCACTACTACTAGCCTTGAGCTTAAAAAAACTCAGGGACAATTTCTAGGCCCTGAGTTCAAGCCCTAGAATTCGAAAAAATAAACAAGTTGGAAATAGAGATGTGGCTCAATGATAGAGCACGAGCCTTGAGTAAAAAAGCTAAAGGAAAACTTGAGGGCCTAAATTCAAGCCACCAACTCAGTGCTGCCACAAGGAGGGAAAAAAAAGGAAAAAAGTGATCTATAATAAATAAAATACCTTATTTTACATTACAATTTAGTCTATAATAAGGAAAACTGATTTTACATCCTCTTCATACATGCAATCTGATCTGATACTTTTGCAATTTCTAGTATCTCACTTATTATTTGTATCTTTAGGCTAGATATATTGACTTCGTGATCAAATGATGGATCCTATGGTTTGAGAAACACTCAGCTATTATATTATTAACAAATAGCCTATGTATGGCTTTTCCTGTCACTTTATTCAAACGGACTTTATATTTTTTCTTAAATTCAGGATACACACCTCAATAACTCTTCATGCTGAGGTCCAGATGACAGCTTTTGTAACTTAGGGGATGACTCTTCTAACAAACAGTCAGTAATTGCCACTTTATTAGATTTGGGTGCTGCATGCTTTTTTGCCTTTTGGAAACCTACAGATTTAAATCCTAATATTAGCTAATTAGAAGTACAAGTAAAAGCATTAACAAATTCGAATGAAATGATTTTATTTAAAATTATAAACTATTACCTGAATTGTAGATAATACTTCTACATTCCAAACATTCCCAGTTTTGTTCCCATGATCGTAGTGAGGAACAGGCTAAATGTGTTCCACTTGAACCACAACACTGACAACGTTTTATTTCCCATTTGCTGAGGATATAAAGAAAAGTATAGGCTGATGTTTTGATTTTAATGTAATCTACTTCTATCCACAATCACTGCCAAAGATCCTACCCTCTGCCACATATCTTTTTACTAAAAGAGGGAAAACAGATTAGATCCAACACTGTATTATGTTCTCTAGTTTACTACCGCTCTTAAATATCTCTATTTTAAAAATGTCTACTCATATCAACATACACATATATACATACACAAAGGATATAACACATTTGAAAGGCTTAAAATTAAGGAGAAAAACAATTTTTTTCATTTGGAGATAACTATGTTCACAGAGACTACTGTGTCTGTGTCCACTATCAACAAAACATTCAGTTAATTTCAAGATAAGGAGTAAGGAGTATTTCTGGCAGAGAGCTTGCTCTGCCACATCAGGTACTATGTAGCATGACAACGAATCTTCCTATTTGACCCACATTCATATTACCCCTACTCTGTATTTCCCCAGTGTGACTCGTGATATGTGGGAGGGTCATAATCTTATTTGTTGTACGGAGATAATTGTGTTGCGGTGTTGTTTCACTTTGAGAGACAATGAGATATAATATAGGGACACCAGCACAGGACACAACCAGAAGGTAATCATTTACAAGCCAAAAAAAGGTCTCTGACTTGAAAAAATTATATTAAGTCAAGTAAACCAGGCCCAAAGAAACATAGGTCCTATGGTTTGTTTCCCTTACTTGCAATAACTAGTATATATCTGGGACAAGTAGAAAGATAAGATGATGTTAAGTGAAATGAACCCCAAGATAGGGACACAAGTGATTTTTTTTCTTTCTTGCTATTGTTTCTAACATATTTATAAGGTACCATGTGATTTTTTTTTTGTTGCTTTGCATGTTCTACCCCCACGGTATAACCCCTGTTTTCACTGAATTTGATGTTGGTATAATTTGGGGAGGGGAAGGGAAAAAACAAAATGTTTAAATAGGGATACAGGTTGACCCATTGTAACAATGAGATATACAAGACACTGTTGAACAACGAACTTTACAATTTGGTCGGGGGAGGGGAGGGAATGTAGTTGTGGAAGTGGGAGGGATGGTAGGAGAAAAACAAAGGAGGCAACAATGCTTGATAAGAAATGTACTGATTACCTTGCTCATGTAACTGTAACCCCTCTGTGTTCAGTATTTTCACAATAAAAAACTTATTTAAAAAAATAACAAATAAACACCCTGGTATCTTACTGATAGCTTCCTAAATTGTGAGAAAATAAATTTTCTGTTGTTTAATCACCTAGTATGTCTGTATTTTATTATGCAACCCTAATGAGTTAACTTTTGGTTTGTAATCACATATACAGTTCCTTTTCAATTTAGAATAGCCACATTTAGACTCAATAGCCACATCTAGCTAGTAGCTACCATATAGACCACTTGTAGCTCCGAGAAATAAGTAACTATATTGAGTGCAAAATTATCTTTAAATAAGCATAAGTATTTAACAAATATACAACTGAAATTAAAACTTCAAACATCCTAATAGAAAGACTGTTTCATTAACTACAAAATCTATTTTGTCAGCTAAAAGTTTAAATAAGAAACCACTAAATATGATTCAACTTTCTAAAATACCTATCAGGTTCATTATATTCTCGTCCTTCTTTGCAACGGCATCTTCGAACATCACAACGCTCATGATGCTGAAGAAGATCTTGATAAGCATTTTCCTCTAATTCCCAGGAAGCATCTCTATAAATTAAAACAATATAAAAAATCAAAATATACTTTAAGATGTTCCATGAAAAGGATTGGTAATTTATGAAGGACAAAATTTGTCATTTTAAAGCTATTTTCTTCAATGTGTAAATCTATGGCATCATGTTAATCTCCAGTTAATTAGCCTTACAGTTAATTTTCAAATTCAAAGGTCAAGCAGAATTTTTCTAAACTTATAATTGTTCTATTATTTCACTTCCCCTACTCTGCCCCCCCCCCTTGCAAACAAGGTGTCACTATGTAGTCTGGGCTGATCTTGAACTTGAGATCCTGTTACCTCACTCTGCTGGGAATACAATTTTACACTACTATGCCTGGGCCCAATTTTTAATTTCAGCTCTACTATTACTATTTCTGAATTCCTCATCTTAAACATCAGATCATTTAGAAAATATATAAATACCATTTTAAAGACTATGTTGAAATCAACCCAAGTTGAACAAAGATGGTACTAGGAAAGAATAAATCAACTAATAAAACATTTACATTTATGCTCTCTAAAAAACCTGACTCTCTGGGAAAAGTCTTCATATTTCCCCATGTGAAACAGCTACCTTCCCACAATTACTTATAATCAGACATTAAATCCAACATTAGAAATACCTTGCTGCTTTTGTCAAAAAGCTAAATGTTACTCACTTTTCAGGAATATGAATTCCCATTTTCAACATCTCTTTCTGAAAGATCTCACTATTATTACATATTGTACACCTAAAGAAAAATATTCCAGCATTTATTGCTTGAACCTACAGAGGAAAAATGAAGAAGTCTTTTATCAGGTTATGAATTATATAACAGGACATGTACTATTTTTACTTAATATGAAAATATCTTACATGCCAGTGATTCTTATTCCCACTACTAAAACCTGAAGAGCTTTTTCTTTCTTTTTTTTTTTTTGGGTCCGGTCGTGGGGCCTGAACTCTGGGCCTGGGCGCTATCCCTCAGCTCTTCAGCTCAAGGCTAGCGCTCTACCACTTGAGCCACAGCACCACTTCCAGCTTTTTCTCCTTATGTGGTGCTAAGGAATCGAACCCAAGGCCTCATGCATGCGAGGCAAGCACTCTACCACTAAACCAACTTCCCAGCCCCCTTCCAATTTTTATAATATATAAATTACACATTTGTCTTAATGGCAGTGTTCTCTGTTTTATATTATGATTTATGTAGAAATCCTTAGTATCTAGATATAACATCTGCAAAAGGAAATCCTGAGAACTGTTTTACATTGCTACAAGATACATAACATACTATTTATAACATTAGTTTTTATTTCCAGTTAGAAGAGCCTTACTAGTTTATTGAAGAAATATTAGAAAACCCCAAGTTAGAAGCAAAAATTACCTTGTGCCAGGAATAGTGGCACATACCTATACCACTTGGAGCTCCACTTCTTTTTCAGTGGTTAATTGGAGATAAGAGTCTCATGGGGACTTTTCTGATTGTACTGGCTTTGAACTATGATACTCAGATCTCAGTCTCCTGAGTAGTTAGGAATACAGATGTGAGCCACAGGCCTCAGGCTATCTTTGACATTATTAATATTGTGACAGTTATAAAATATCAGGATTTTTCATATCCAAGGAGTAATGGTGTTTAATGCTTGTTGATTTGCATTGTAGGCATAGAACCCAGCACTTCACAAACACTACAGAAGCCTCATCTAGCTAATATTCCTAGTCTCAATTTTGTGTTTCATAATATTTTATTTATTTGAAAACTAGTCATTTAAGCTTGACATTAAAAGTTACTTTAAAAGAAGAAATAGCTTTAAGTCAGTAACAGAACCAGATCCCTGTAAAGGAGTTATTGTGTAGCCAGCCTAGGCTGGCCTTAAACTTGTGAACCTCCGGCATCTGCTTCCCTAGTACTAGGATTATAGACATATACTAACATGCTCACCTTGGTAGTCTAAAAATAAAATAAATCAACAATAGCCTCTTAATGGTTAGTTTGCTACCAATTTTATCATTTCCTGGGTTCCTAGCTTAAATATAAGTGGAATTTAGGATTTTTAAGTCACTGTGGAATACAAAATCCTTAGAATAAAAGCAAATTTGTGTAAATTTACATATATATATTAAAATTTTTATCTTAGAAGTGGAGATGTGGCTCAAATGGTAGAGTACCAGCTATGAGTGGAAAAAACTGATTGATAATACAAGGCCTGGAGATCAAGCCCTAGTATGTTAAAAAAAAAAAAAAAAGACAACAGCACAAAAAAAAAGTTGCCTTTCAACTATTTATTAAAATGTTAATTATACAACTGAATGGGTTAAGTGTTTTATTTGAAATAAGGTACAAATTGACATAAAAGTTAAAAATAGAACTAGAATACACACACCAATTCTTATTTAAAACTCAAATCAGTAAGCAACACATTTTGTAAGTAAAAGCTTATAAAACATATCTTACCTGTAAACAGTCTCTATGAAACCATGCATTTTTACAACAAGGACTTTGTAATACACTGTAAGTAGGTATAGGCTCAATGTATTCCAAACAAATGGTGCATGGTAAGGAGTCTCTATAATTATTAGATGTAGTTATCTGAATAGGTCGATGACTCCAACAAAATGACCTAAGAATACAAGTTATTTAAGAATAATATGTAATGGAATACAAAACATTATTGGGCTACATATTACAACTCACAATAGTAAGGAGAAAAGTCATTAATCTAAAATAAGACTAGAAACATGGCACTACAAATAATGTTTACAATCTGTAAGAAAGAAAAGCTAGACCCCCAAAATATAAACTTTAGTAGTTCAGACTTACCTCATACAGAATTTTGTTAACATTGGTAATGTTGTTAGCAATATGTACTCTTGTATTCAACATCTGAGTACATACTACTCTACTTGACATTATGTAAAACTGAGGCTGAAATTTACACAAAGGTTTTAATCACAAAATGAAATACAAATTAAAAACCTATTAAAAACCTAACCCACTTTGTTCCCATTTGTTTTTTCCCAATTGTTTTTTGTTCTTAAATGTAAGTCTAATGATAGGTCTAAATATGAAGAAGTCTAATGATAGGTCTAAATATGAAGACTTGAAATAAAACACTCATGATACCAAAATGCCAAAATTTCTAAAATCGTGAAGTTGTACTCTGAAAGCAAATATTTCCAGGGGTATTCCAGGGTATAATATTTATTCTTTTGGGACTAAATCAAATAGTGTGGGGGGAGGAGAGAGAATGAGTTAATTCTAAACAGTGACTTAATCTAGAATTTAACAGCTCAACGCCATATCCTAGAGATGAAAGGTGAAGGTAAGTATTATTAGTCCCATTCTAGACACTGAAATTCTCAATATTTAGCATGCAGAGGAAAATATATTAAACAATATAATTTATTATGGAGAGTCTTTACATAAGTAAAAATGTATAAGCTCGGTATAGATTAAAAAGAGTAACTTTGAAATATGTTTGAGATATCTATTTTCCACTATTTTTTAACATTCATGTTTTATATTTAATAAGTAACTCACGCAAAATTGCCAGTAAATTGGAAAATACATTCTCGCTCAAGTCCACATGGTAAATGGTAACTTCGTTTACATCGAGGTGCTACACATCCAATTGAAGCGCCACTTTTCTTGCAGACACTGCATTTCTAGAAGATACATGGAAATAGAACGACAATATAAAATTTTTATTATATAATCAAGGTTATTAATAAATATTCCTTTTGGGCAGACTAAAAATTATTCTCATCACTAACAGGTGTGATAGTAAAGAAATGTACTGAAAATGTAAAATGCTACAAGGAAGCTTTTCCTTCTCACCTGCTAAAATACTTCAAAATGAAGGGTTTATAAACATAATAGCTATACATGACAGTTGTACTGAAATCTCAACAGAAAGCATGAATCATAGGAAAACAATAATAAAACTTATTGGGTAAAAAAAAAAATTAACAATTTAGCTCAGATTACCTAGCTAACCTAACCAAAATCAAAAAGTCTTAAGACATCTGTAGTACGTTTACTGCTGGTCTCCAAAAGAATGCATCAAGTTCTAACTTCTAGCATCTGTCAATTCAACTTATATGGAAATAGTTTATCTGCAAATAAAATTAAGGATCTCAAGAGATGAGCCTGTAATAAAGGTGTCCTAATCCTATGACTTATGTGTTTCATAAAAGAGGTAGACACTCAGAAAATATGTCAGACATAAGCAGAGATTGAAGTTATATTGCTACAAACAAGCAAATAGCAGAAGGAATGCAAGAGGCATAGAACAAATTCTCCCTCAGAATCTCTGGAAGGGATCAACCTTTTGTAATGTTGCATTATAACTCTGGTCTTCAAAAATTAAGAATATATTTCTTTAATTTTGTTACGGAAATCTTAGGAAACAAATGCTGTATCACTGCTACAACTTATAACAGTGGTTATAAAGAAAGACTATTGATAATTAGAATACACAGATGTATCTGAAATGTCTTGGTATACTTTAAGTTGGCCTTTATAATGGGTATTAATTTAGGAACTACAATCTTACTTTTTAACTCCTCAAAATATAGGAAATCCTTTTGCTAATCTAAGATCTGCCCAGTGAACTGACACAAGGAATTCTATTTTAATAAAAGGGGTGGGGAGGAGGAGTGGCAGGCAAGATTCCTTTTCAGAAGTTTCACAACATACTTAAGTCAGGATTCAAATACTTTAAGAAATTTGGTAATTTTAAACTGTAAGGGAGGTCCAAAGACCACCCTTAATCACAAGATTATCATTAAAGATTGAGTTTTTATTTTATCTTTGAGAAGTTGCACAAAGGAGTTGTCATTTAACAAAGCAGTTTATGAATAGAATGTGTTTTGATCAATGTCACCTTTTTCAACATTCTCACCCATTCCTCCCAATTCCTCCCCCATCTCACTATTCTTAATTTTGAAGGATAAACATTGAATTCTTGACTGTATTCTTCTCTTCATTCCTCTATCCTTCTCCCTCCCCTTGACCGGAGCCTACCCTCAAATACCTGTTTGGTGGGGTTTATTTTGTTGAACTTTGACTTTGCCTTTTTAAGGAATTATACTATTTGAATCTCCCTTGAATCTACTATATTTCAGTTTCTTCAAGATTAAAGGTTTGTAGATCAGCAGAGTAGAACTATGGGTCACAATTCTGATTTAAGAGTGAATAACATGATGGAAACTGAAGAAGATAAGGAGGTGCAGTTAAACTCTCACTTTCAAAATCACAAGGTTTTACTGCAACTTACCATTAATATCTGATACAAATATACACTGCAACATAAAACTGAAGTCACAATTTCCAGTAGAGAAACTGATGAGTTTTCTCAAGTATTGACAATATTTGTAGTATTTAATATAGTGAACAAAAAAATTACTTGCCAGTTTAGAAGCTCTATGCACTTCCTTTTTGATATCTTCTATTAGAAAACCATAAAGTCCTTCTTCTTCTTTACCTCTCTGCCAAATTCCACTTGACATTAACTGTGAATACATTCTCAATTAGAAAATTAACCCAAACTAGCATGGAGAAGGAGAAGCAGAAGGAGAGGGAGAGGGACAGAGGGAGAAAAAGAGAGCGAGAGAGGTGGACAGGGAGAGAATGAGAGAGAATTATATATGTACTCAATAATTTCAATAAAAATAGACATCAAATGACTCAAATTTCAAATATCTATTATAAAAAAAATTTTGCAAAGAAGCTATCACACTTTGAAAGACATTTTATGTTTAAATGAACAATCTGTATGTCCCAACTGATTCCAAAAGTATTCCAGGAAGAAAGAGCAGAAAAAGAGAAAAAAGAAGGGAGGGAGGGAAGGAAGAAAGGGAATGGAGGGAGGGAGGGAAGAAAGAAAAACAGTCATTTTTAACTTCATAGTTTACATAAACGATGGAAGCGTAAATCAAGAAAAGTGTAGAATATGAATAAAAAATCTTGGCTTGCAAACTAAGACTGTATATTTAACCTTCTAGAATCTTATGCAGGATGATTTAAACACTAAAGCTTTAACAGATTGTCTCTATTTACAGACTTTATGAAGACCTATATAGTCTTTTTTTGCATATTTCATAGTAGTGATCATGTAGATAATGGACAAGTAATAAAGTGAGTAGGAGAATGATCCTATTATCTACTATTTCATCTATAGTATCCTAGAGTTCATGAGAAGACAGATTCAGTTCAAACAGATTCTATTTGTCTATTTGAATCTTAAACATGGCAAATCTGTGATCAATATATTTTCTGAAGTATTATACTAATTTATTAATAAGACAGAATATAGAGGAATTTTGGCATGTACAACAAATACTTCATTTTTTTTTAATTCAATAGCTGGGTGCTTGTAGATCAGATGATGCCTGTAAACCTAGCTATTCAAAAGGCTGAGATCTGAGGATTAGTTAGAAGCCCATGCAAGAAGTGGAAAGCATGGCTCAAGGAGTAGAACACTAGCCTTGAATGAAAAAAAACTAAGGAACAGCAGCCAGGTTCTGAGTTCAAGTCCCAGTTCCAGCACAAACAAAAACAAAAATATCCACTTTGACTGAGTTGTAATTAGAGAAGTTTTCATTAATGTCCTGAAATACAGTTGATACATATTACTTATGAATTAAATGAAAAATGTCCTAATAGTTTTAGCTCCACTACATAAAAAACAAATGCCCTCAAAGAAAGTAAATTTATTTCATTTTCTACTGTAGATTGCAGAGCTTACAAACATATTAAAATGCCAGGTTCATGTTCCTTTAAAGCATGATACAAAATGATTAGGTTCTGTCTTTAACTCATAGATTATCTGAGACACAACACAGCATCTTTAGTGAACCACCAAGAAATATATTTAGTGAATACTGAAGAATCTTAAAATGAATGATGGCAGGTTTAAAAATATGTTCCACAAATTTACTGGTAGTCTGATTCCATCTGGTGTGTACCTCTTTCCTCAACTGTTTTTGGGAAAGCCAGATGACATACTGTGAGTAGTCTTCCTGAGAAGCCTAGAAGGCAAGGGCCTGAGGTTTCTTGCCAACACACAGGAGGAACTGTAGCCAAAAGCACATGAGTAGTAGTAGATCCCACAGCTGGGATACCTTCAGCTAAGATCTAGCTGATATCCTGAACTATGATCCTCTTGATTTATACTACTTGGGTATCTGTGATTACCCGTGTAATCCACCACTCTGACATCCCCTGGCTGACATCTTGATTATAATCTCATGAATAAGTAGCAGATCTATTTAGCTAATAACAAAATCTTCAGCCTACGAATGATTATAATGGTGCATTAATTCATTCATTTCTGAGTTAATAAAATGTAAAGTTCGTACAGGGAAGAGAAAACAAATGAGAGATTTAATTCTCATTCTTTTGCTTTCTTTTCAGTGATCTATACTACTTCCTTTTCAAGTAATATTAATTACCTTTAGCCAGAACTTTTCCTTCCAAGTACTCTGTAAAATGAAAATACAATTCTTCTATTTCCTGAACCTTTAAACAAGTTTTCTCTGTAATTTAGCAATATAAACAGAAGAAATAAGAAAGTGGTAAAAACAACATATCTTATATAGACCTAACAAATCCTTTATTCCACTAAGACATATTGGTACTGATGACAAGTCATTTACACATACATGTACAAGTCTTTTACATATACATGTAATTTCAGAAGCTTAAAATTTGATATACAAAAAAATGACATTTTTATAGGTATGTTAAATGATTCTCAAAAAGTTGTCTGACTAATTTCTCTTAAGCACACCAACTTTCTAGAATTCTAAGTTATACTCACCAAACAATGGTAATGTACAGTGAGATTCCATTTCTCATTTGTTTTCTTCTCTCCATATTTATAAGGACAGTCATCAGTTTTTCGACAGAAAACACAAGCTAATAGTGAAAAAGTAAACATATAAATAAAATACTTAAAATTTTTAAATGAGCAACTGATGCTTCTTTGACTTGATATGTTAAATGCTTTGAAAGCAAATCACATTGCACTGTCATTGGCAATACCTACTTCTAAAATATAATAAATATAAAGACATTTCTCATGGATTCCAGCACATAATTAAAAGGGCAATCTAAGGATAGCATCACTGAACATGATATATTAGGGAATTGCAAAGCTCCATTCTTCCACTGCTGATGAAATTGCAAAAAGAAAAACCATCAGGATCCACTTTTAGATGCTCTGGAGTACAATAAACTTTAAAAATTAGAATAATTCTTAATGGAGAATAAGCTGCTCAAAATGTTGATGAAGACATTTTAATTTACTCTCTTACTATAAACATTTCTAGCTTGGGCCTAGGTCCTTGAGTGATCCATGTAAATTTTATAGGCTTGCTGGACCAAGACGGAATAATACAGACCTTTGTCCCAAAGAAAAGCAATTATTTTGAGCTATGTGGCAGTGTTCTGAGTAATGGGGCCTTAGCCCCATGATCAAGAGGATCATAGTTGAGGGTATCAGCTAGATCTTAGCTGAAGGTATCCCAGCTGTGGGATCTACTACTACTCATGTGCTTTTGGCTACAGTTCCTCCTGTGTGTTGGCAAGAAACCTCAGGCCCTTGCCTTCTAGGCTTCTCAGGAAGACTACTCACAGTATGTCATCTGGCTTTCCCAAAAACAGTTGAGGAAAGAGGTACACACCAGATGGAATCAGACTATCAGTATATGCTAGCTATTCTTTTGCCAGCCTTAGAACTTTCTCAGGGCTAACAAACTAGTAGCAAAAGCCTAGGACAAATGATGTCAGACAGCTGCAAGCAGCAGAGACCAAAAAGAAAAGGATGGGAAAAGCTGAGACCTAGGGGAATAAAAGTTCTAAAAAGTAACAGTATATACAAAGAGATCCTAGAGTGCCAGGCTCCCATGGATGTTCTGAATGCTCAAAAAGACCAGAAGCTTTAAACTTTTACCTCTGGCTAGTTTTTAGGCTCATACAACCTATATTAAAAAAAGAAAGATCTCAAAATAATATGAGACTCTAGATAAGGAATCCACTAGTTTTTTTCTTTTTGTCAGTCGTGGGGCCTGAACTCTGGGCTTGGGCGCTGTCCCTGTGCTCTTCAGCTCAAGGCGAGTGCTCTACCACTTGAGCCACAGCGCCACTTCTGGTTTTCTAGTGGTTTATTGGAGATAAGAGTTTCATGGATGTTCCAGCCCAGGCTGGCTTTGAACCACAATCCTCAGATCTGAGCCTCCTGAATAGCTAGGATTACAGGCGTGAGCTAGGAATCTACTAGTTTTGAAGCATGGAGCTTTATAAATAAGCAGACAACTTCTGTATTTTTATTTGGCTATCTTTTAAAACTGTATTTTTATCTTTAAGTAGTTGTACAAAGGGATTACCATTCAATGTATCAGTTTATACGTATATTGCATCATGATCACCTTATTTAAAATTTTTTATCTTTAAAACTCATTGAAAGAAAATGGGTATTGGTAATCCTTATAATCCTAGCTATTCAAGAGGCTGAGATATAAGGATCATGGTTTGAAGACAGCTCAGGCAGCAAAGTCTGTGAGACTCATTTCCAATTAACCACCAAAAAGCCAGAAATGGAGCTGTGGCTTACATGGTAGCATGTTAGCCTTGAGCACAAAAAGTCAGGGACAGAGCTCGGGTCCAGAGTTCAAGATTCAGAACTGGCACAAACAAACAAAATCTAAACCAAAATTTAAAAAAAATAAAAACACCCCAGTAAAGGAAGTGGAAGTGTAGAGTTCAAGCTAGCCCTGAAGTGGCTCAAAAGCTAAGAAGAGCGTGAGATCCTGAGTTCAAGCCCAAGTACTGGCACGAACATTTAAAGTAACAAAACACAGTAAAAAAATTCAGTTAAGTTGTTCTGAAGTCATTATTTTTACCTCCTACTTTACCAAATGACATTGGTTTTATTTATTATAATAATGAACTTTTTTCTATTTTTTCATTTATTTATTGTTATTATAAAGGTGATGATGTACAGAGGGGCTATGGCTATGGCTATATATATATAAAATTTTGAAAGCATTAGAATAGCTGATACAAAATAAGTAAGCCTAGAGATTTTAGGAGTATAGTTCATCATCCAAAGTAAGACAGTCAACAGACAGTATATGTAAAATTTAAAGTATATTATTATTTTATTTTTTGTTGGTCATGGGGCTTAAACTCAGGGCCCGGAAATTGTCTCTGAGTAATTTTTGCTCAAGGCTAGCATACTACCATTTCAAGGCACAGTGTCACTTCCAGTTTTCTGATGGTCACTTGAAGAAAAAGAGTCTCACAGACTTTCCTACCCTGGCTGGCTTTGAACTTTGTTCCTCAAGTCTCAGCCTCCTAAGTAGCTAGGATTACAGGTGTGAGCCACCAGCACCCAGCTTAAGTGTATTATTTGTAGAGATCAACAAAAACTGAAAAATTGGATAATTTAGATGACTCATCTTTCATGATAGCAAGTCAGTAGTAGCTTTTTAAAGCAAATGAAGAAAACATTAAACACAAACCAAAAGAAACGTATCTTTGGAGAGACTTGTGTTCCTAGAAGTTTTCCTTTCCTTTTTAACTTGGTTAAATTATTGTTTAACTTGTTCTATAACCATTTAATTTTGTTACACTGTTTTAAAAATAGATTTCTTAAGATTACAGACATGAGATCTGAGGATTGCCATCCCGGGCAGGAAAGTCTGTGAGTCTCTTATTTTTCAATAAACCATCAGAAACCGAAGTGGTGCTGTGGATCAAATGGTAGAATGCTTGCCTTGAGCTGAAGAGCCGAGAGACAGCGCCCAGGCTGAGTTCAAGCCCCAGAACTGACAAAAAATAAATAAAAAAAAAATAAAATACATAGACCTGCTTTATTCAGGTACAAACCATATCTGTTATACATATAGAATACAAATAAAATTGGGCAGAGCCCTCTCATAAAGAGTTGTTTATGGAAATGAATACACACAATAGCATATTTCAGTACATGTACATGTGAACTACGCATGTGTAAGAAAATTCATTCTTATTAGCTGGCAACATTCTAAAAAGATTATCATGAAAATAGTTTAAATATAGTTACTTACCTAGGTTCTGTGAGTCTCCAGGTTTATTTTCATTCATTTTACTAGGAAAAATAAGAAGCAGGCAGTGCATGATTAATAATGTTAACAATTTCATAGTACAGTACTTCATTTCTTACCTCAGCTTTCACATATGTAAGACCAGTAGTTCTCAACAAGAGTTTGAGGACATTTTTTAGAACTGGAGGGAATGTTTAAATATTAAAACATTTAAAATGACTATTGAAAATAAAATAAAATGACTATTGAAAGTGCTAGATTTGCAGGATACTTTGCTATGTGCAGTAAATCCTATACAAAAAAGATTGTCTAGATTTTCAAATTTCCAGCTAGACATTCAAATAGTGCTTAAAATAAAAACAAAAGGGACTTATAGTTATCCTAACATAGAACCTAAGCTTATGTTACATATAATCAAGTCTTTTTTCCCCTTGATTTGTTAAGACAAAATTTGTATCCCAGAACTACAACTCCTATGTCAAAGAACTCTATTTACTTTCTGCTCAAAATTTTACCAATATGTAACATTTCCTAAGACACATCAGTAGTAATGTCATTTATATTTCTATACAACAATTCTTTTATTAATCTATACAAGTTAAATCATTACTGTTATATTTCTCCTAAAAGATCAAAAACAGGAAGATACAATATTAACACCAAAGTTTCACTTTACCAAAGGTTGAGTCAAAGTCTACTCAAACTCATAGAAATCAAGTGGGATGCTACTAGTTTAATGTAACAATTTTTTTACAGTTGCAAAACAATCTAAGAACAAGTGGGTGGGATGATGCATGGTGAATTCAGAGTGTTTGGGACACTGAGACAGGGAGAGTTTTCAAGCCAGCAAATCCAGGTCAGCATGAGTTTATATAAACTCTGCGCAAAATAAAAAATAACCTATCCCAGTTCACAGAGCTTCTATGTGAGAATGAACTAGCCTGTAAGTGATAACTTCACATAGAAATAGAAGTGCACAAACATAAACCAACAAACCCAACAGTATACTGAATTAAAAGCTAAACTGAAGATTGCCAGGAAACCTTAAGATACTGAACCTAACACTGATTATTTTATGAATACTGATTAACCCAATTAAACTCACATTTTCTTATACGAATTTGCTTTTCGTACTGACTTTAAGTAGTTTGTTCTAAATATGTATTTTTCTCACATTTTTTGTGCTTTCATAAAAAGTTATATTCTAGGGACTGGGAATGTGGCTTAGTTGTAGAGTGCTAGCCTAGCATGCATGAAGCTCTGGGTTCGATTCCTTAGTACCACACAAACAGAAAAAGACAAGTGGCACTGTGGCTCAAGTGGGAAGAGTGCTAGCCTGAAGCACAGAGAGGGCCAGGGATAGAGCCCAGGTCCTGAGTTCAAGTCCCAGGACCAGCAAAAAAAAAAGATGATTTTCATTTCAAACTAATCTCAAACAGCAGCAGTAAACAGTGAAAAAAGGACCATTTGCACATATGTTTAGATGGATTTTATAGTTTAAGGTGTTTTCCTTCAAGTATGGTTTTTCTTTTGGTGGGGGCTGTAACTAGGGCTTGAACTCAGGCCCTAGCACTTCTTTTGCTCAATTCTAGCATAGCACTCTACCACTTGAGCCACAGTACCACTTCTGGCTTTTTCTAAGTAGTTTTTATTGGAGTTAAGGTTTCCTGCCTGAGCTGGCTTTGAACCATGATCCTCAGGTCTCAGCCTCCTGAGTAGCTAGGATTAGACATGAGCCACTGGTTCCCAGGTCAAATATGATTTAAGATTTCTTTGGGAGAATAAAGAAAACACTGGTTTTTAGGTATGTATTTAAGTAACAGTCTTAAAAATAAGGTCAAATTAACTGTTTGTTCTCTTCCTCAAGGGAAGGAAATCACTGTCAAGAGATATTCTGATTCTAACCTCATTATTTAACTCTAGTTGATTAATTAGTATGCTCAGAGTTTGATGTTCCTTTTAGAAGAGGGAGCCTGATGGCCCACTTCCATCATTGTGAATGTGGTGAGGGATTAGGATTTGGTTTCACCAAAAAAAGTCTATGGCAGAAGTGACAGTACATGACTAGTTCATAAAAGACTTTGTGACATCCTTCTTTACTATGTCACAAGCTACCCTCTGGAGAAAATGACACATTGCCATATTACAAAGACCTCTAAGATGCTTCATGTGGAGCCCACTAGGTAAAAAGAAGATCTTTTACCCTCAGCCATAACAATGAGATACTTTAGAAACAGATCTTTGAGGTCCAATCAACTATTCATTTGACTAAACCTGGACCGCAGCTTTGAAGGAAACAGTTAAGCTCCTTCCAAAATCCTGACCCACAAGTTATATTGTTTTAAACCACAAAGTTTATTTAAACCAGAAGAATTTGTTAAACAGAGATAGATAACAAAAACAAGAAAGAAATTTTCTCTCGTTTCTCCAGACATCTACCATTTAAATAAACTCCAGGTCATACTCACTGGTCACGTCTGAAAGCTCCTAATCCTACTGATAATAGCAAAATTGAAATGTGATTATAAATACACAGAAGACCAGCTAGAATCCCCTCCCTTTTATTTTCTTGTCCTGAGGCTTAAAGTAAGGGCCTGAAGGTCCTTGAACTTCTGGGGGGGGGGGGCAGCTTTAGTGGCAAGAAGAGTCTTTCCTGCCTGGGCTGACTTTAAACTGTGATCCTCAGATCTCAGCCTCCTGAGTAGCCAGGATTATAGGCATGAGCCATTGGTACTGGGCTTGAAAAGCACATATATCTTAAAAAGGGAAATTACTTGATTTTTTTTAATCTACAATTTAAAAAATATTTTCAAGGGATTATCTAAATCACCAATTAGAAAAGCTAAATCCATTCTGTGCAAAGTACATTGATGTACTCTAAATTCCTTTTTTTAAATTAAGTTTTTTATTGTCAAAATATAAAGGGATTACAGTTACATGAGCAAGGTAATGAGTATATTTTTTATCCAGAATTGTTGCCTCCTCCTCCTTTGTTTTTCCCCTACTATCCCACCTCCTCAGCTACCCCTCCACCTCCTCACCCCCCCCACCTAAATTGTAAAGTTCATTTTTCGACAAAGCATCTTGTACATCTCATTGTTGCAATGGGTCAATCTGTATCCCTATTTAAACAATTTGTTTTTTCCCTTCCCCTCCCCAAATTATACCAACATCAAATACAGTGAAAACAGAGGTTATACCGTGGGTGAGTAAAGTTCTTTTCTTGATAACTCAGATGTTATTTGAAAGTCCAGTATATATTATTCTGAATGTTACTTTTATATGTCTGATACATATGAAAGCGTAAATATATTTTTATGACTTAGCATTGCACAATAAAGCCATGATGAGTTATAGTAGTTATTAAAAGTACTTGCTTTCTCTCTCTAGTAGAAATTGACAAGCTGATTCTAAAATATACATTAAAATGTAAGGGCCCAATAATAGCAAAAATGGTTCTTAAAAGGACAAAGTTGGACATCTTAGACTGTGATTTCATGACTTTCTACAGAACTAAATCAATCAAGACAACAATACATGTGAACAAGAACAGACTATAATATAAAGGTCAGACACAAGCTCAAATACTTGCTTTTAAACAAAGGTACCATGGTTAATTCAACTGTGAAAATGATGTCTACTCAGCAAATCATATCAAGATATCGGGATATTAGTTTGAGGAAAACACTAGTAAATATAAAATGGGCACAAATTTGCAACAACAACATAGTAAGACGTAGTATACTTTTTATTTATTACTAATGCTAAATGGCCTGGAATCAAACTAGATTGTTAGAAGTTTGAAATAGTAAATATAATTCCTAAGGTAACTACTAAGAATGTAAGTAAAAAAACATATAAAATGCCTGGAGGTGTGACTTATGAATATAGCCCTTACTCTTACTCTTGGTAGGATCACAGTTTGAGACTAGCCTGGATAAAAATTTGTTAAGACCTCCCCACCTACTCCTTTCTCAACCAATAATTTGGTACACGATATGCACATGTTATCCTACCTATAAGGTAAACAGAGATGAAGGTATAAAGTTCTATGCCAGTCTGAACTAAAAGGTTCACAACCAGGGTTGGGAATGTGGCTTAATGGTAGAGTGCGTCCCTAATATGCATGAAGCCCTGGGTTCGATTCTCAGTAACACATCAACAGAAAAAGACAGAAGTGGCACTATGGCTCAAATGGTAGAGTGCTAGCCTTGAACAAAAGAAGCTCAGGGACAGTGCCCAGGCCCTGAGGTCAAACCCCAGTCTGGCCATAAATAAAAAAATAAATAAATTCTCTAGACTCAATCTTAATGGAAGGAACTGAGTGTGATGCTGGACACTTGTCATTCTAGTTATAGTGGGAAGTATAAAATAGGAAGATATTGGCTCAAGTGTACCTCCCCAAGGCAAAAAGTGATACTACATCTAAAATTAAATGGTACAAAAAGGGCTAGAGTTGAAAGTGTGGCTCAGCAATATAAGCAAGTACAAATAAACAATACACTATGAAAGTATCAACTAAATAAAGCAAAAGAGGGTATAAAATAAGACATAGAGGAAATCAAGATTAAGCGAACAATAATCTTTCCTTATCAGTAACTACTTACTACAGGACATAACATGAACTTAAAATACAAGTCATTCCATGTTTTTGTATTAGCGCCAGAGACACAAGTACGTTAAAAGAAAAAGAATAATAAAGTGTTACTTAGGTGACTAAATTAGTTTGAAGCTAAAGTAGACTATAACTCAAAGATTGTTATAAGACCCAAAGAAAGGTATTAAAAATTGATTAAAGATCAATTCATCAAGAAGTTATGGCTATAGACATACATTCCTATCTAACCAGAACTCTAAAATATTTAGCAAAAAATGGCTGAAATAGTTTTAGATCTGATGGATATAAAGAATACTCAATCTATCCAGTATCCAATAGTAGCAGATTATAACATACTCCTTTCAAATACGCATGGAACATTATCTATGGATAGACCATACTAAAACCTGAATCCAAGTCTCAATGAGATTGGAATCACAGTTATCT